AGGCTATAACTTTATTTAAAAAAATGTGCAAATGTATAATAATATGCATGACAATAACGTGCAATACCATTTTACAGGGAACAAATGTTACCAGCAAATTCCTGCAAATAACTGAGTGTTCTCTATTTAAAGAAGCTGATAATTTAGAATCTTTAAAGAATTTTATTGCAAATTTCCATTAGGAATTCTTTAACCCCCCCCCCCCAAAAAAAAGAGAAAATTGTAATGACATGTTTGGTATTTAAAGAACAAAATATCAGGCCGCAGAAAGAGGAAAATTGTTTTTATAATAGTTGTAGAGATTATTAGTTCAAAGGGGCTTTGTCCCTGAAGGACTATTGTTTCCGTTTTGCGATTTTGCGCTGAATCACTATAAATGTCTGTTTCACTTTTCAAACTGTAGCCACCGAATGTTAGAGTCCTGCATTATGTTTGAAGAAATTAAATAAAGAAAAATCTGCATAAATGTATGTATATTTCTCTCATTGTGATAAAATAACGGTACATAGAGCCATCGAATTTTGAATGACGTAATCCTCCTACGAATTTGGGCATGTGCAAGACCAAATTTGAAATTTGGAATTTGTTTTATTATCTATTTCATATTTTGTAAAACTTTACCGAATTTTTGAGTAACAAACTCAACGATTTAAAAACGAGCAATCGCAACACTCTACGGGGAAGGGGGGGAAACCTTTTTATTTCCAGCTCGCAGAACTGTGTATCGGAAATTCTAAAGATAGGCTCATTTTAAAATTATTTTGCGACATTGCTACTGAACTGAATTTCATGGTTTAAGTGCAAAGAACATGATATATATATATATATATATATATAATATAATAAAAAAAAAAAAAAAGATATAAAAAAAATCTGAAATGTTTCAGATTTTAAATTACGTCGAAAGGACCGTTTTTTTAACATTTGTGTGGTACCTTTCTTTATTAAATATCATGTTCTTCGCACTTAAACAATAAGATCCAGTTCAATAGCAATGTCGCAAAATAATTTTTAAATGAGCATATTTTTAGAATTTCCAATACACAGTTTCGCTCGCTGGAGATTCCCCCCCCTCTCCCCGTAGAGTGTTACCATTGCTCCCTTTTAAATCGTTGAGTTTGTTACCCAAAAATTCGTTAAAGTTTTACAAAATAGGAAATCGATAATAAAACAAATTCCAAATTTCAAATTTGTTCTTCCACATGCCCATATTCGCAGTAGGATTACGTCATTCAAAATTGGATGGCTCTAGATACCGTTGTTTTATCACAATGCGAGAAATATACATACATTTATGCAGATTTTTCATGTTTTAATTTTTTCAAATATAATGCAGGACTCTAACATTTTGTGGCAAAAGTTTGAAAAGTGAACCGACATTTATAGCACTCCGACGCAAAATGCCAAAACGAAAGTAGTAGTCCGTTTGGACTAATAAAGGTAACACACAAAACGTTAAAAAAAGGCCCCTTTGGACGTAATTTAAAATCTGAAACCTTTCAGATTTTTGTAAAAAAAAATTTATTCTTTTTTTTTTTTTAAATTTTACAATAGTTATTTTTAATTTTGAAACTCTTTCCTTAGATTCTTGTTTTCCACCTACAACTCCCTGCCGAAATAAGATTTCATTATTGCGTTTTATGTAAGCGAAATACAACCAGCATTTAATGGGAAGTTCAGTCGCTTTCGTAGAAGAGCTCAGAAGTTCTCAGTAAAGCGTGTTCTGCCTTCGGGTCATGTCGTTGCTTTAAGCCTAGTACTACGTTCGGCCGTAGTGTTACGTGCCTGTTAGTATTCACCGATGAGGTTTAATTCCGGGCCAACTCGGTTAATTATTGCTGCGAAACTTCGGCTAAATTTTAGATTAGTTTCTTATTTTCTATAAGCTAAAGACTAAGGGGAGGTTTTCCTATGAGCTTAAGAGGGGCCGTTTGTAGTATTTCTTTGAGTGAATAAAAGGGTATTTTACTCCTTCTTTGGGCTTATATTTTCTAGTAGCAAGAACACCAGCGAATAATGTAGGAACTTCACTAAAGTTCTAGTGGCCAAGGACACATAAATTAACTAGAGCTTTATAGAGTATTGAAGGTTTAAATTTATATAGTAATGAAAGTTTAACTTTGTATAGTAATGAAGGAACTTTATATAGTAAAGGTTTGGCTATAGTGTAGAATTGGGTGCCCCTTCGATTAGCGATAATTTTTTTTTTAAATTTTGGCGATGAAACCTCATTTCCGGTTACCATGATAGTTTTAACTTTGTTTTAGCTTCCTGATTTTTTTTTAATGAAAATAGATTGATGTGTACATGGACAAATTACAGTGCGCAATGCCTAGTTTGTGCAATTCTGGGATGTTTTTTTAAGTGAAAAAAGATCGATGTGTACATGGACACTGAGCTTGTGCAATTCTTTGATTTTTTATTTTGGTTTTGTGTAGCGGCCATCTTGAAATTGTGCCTTCCAGGCGCCAATCTTGGCGCCAAAAAAGAACAGCCAAAAACAAGGGGCACCCAATTGTAAACTTTTACCGAAGGTTTAAATAATAATGAACTTTATATAGTAATGAAGGTTTAAATAATAATGAACTTTATATAGTAATGAAGGTTTAAAGCGAGCAATGGCAACACTGTACGAAAAAATAACAATTTTATCTCTAGCACGCGAGACTGTGTACTGGAAATTTTAAAATATGCACTTTTAAATAATTTGTGATGTTACTGTTGATTTGAATTTTATGGTTTAAGTGCGAAGAACATGATATTTTTTGAGTTATTTCAGACAGAGTGTGTGTTGCCATTCGGCCACGTTGTTTCGCTGATTTAAGCTTCCTGTTTTACAACCGTGCATATTAATTGCCGGTTTTGTCTACTTCAGTGGTAGATCTAAGAGCCAACTCGTGTTAATTATCTCTAGTTCAACTTCGCCTGACTATTTGATTTAGTTTTAAAATGCAATTGAGTTACTCGAAACTATTATGTGCAAATGTTTTTACTGTGTGCACAAGACGCTTATGAACAATAAACGCTCCTCACTTCAAACTGTGAATACTCTTAAGGTCCGTTTCACTTTGTAGAGACATTAGAATGTTTTTTGGAGGCCGGAGAGATGAAACCTGAACAACCGCCTTCGCCGGGAATCGAACTACGGACATCTAAAATACCGGTCCAGCGTGCAGAACCACTACACCACGAAGTCACGAAAAGAAGGCAGGAGAAATACTTCATAACTTCGTAGTCAACATTTAGGACTGCCTAAAAATTGTTTAGTACATCATGCGTAAAAGATTCAGGGTACATCTCAATAAAATTCAATTGTTACATTCCATCGAAGTGTTATATATCTTATTACAATATTACAGAGACTTGAACCAGAATGTCTTAAAAATATCTTCCTTACCAAGGAGATCACATTTCATGTAAACGGTTATGTAAATCGTTGTAATTGCCAAACCTGGGAATTTAAATTTCATTTGCTATACATGAAAGCACATTTGAGATCTCTGGTGCAGCCTAATAAGCAATTGGATAACCTATTCTTTATTGAAACTAATATCAACTTCAACATATGTTCGGGTATGCCACACATCGTTTTGTACCTTTAAACTGACCATGGAAATAGAAGATGCTGAGTCGAAATTTTCTTTCAATAAAAATGGAACATCGCTCAGCTTTTTAGATCATGAGCGAGAAGAGCTGGAATGCCGATTTTGGGGACAGTGAATTGGCAGAAATGAACCTAATCCACGGTTCGCTAAACAATCTGACCTTACTTGCTAGAAATTGTTTCCCGAAACGTTGTCAAAAATGAGGTTTTTTTCGCAAAAAAATCAGATAATTAAAATTAGTTTTGTAAAAAACGAAAGAAATGATGTAACCATCTCGTAGAGAAAAATACACAGTTATAAGGCTACACCTGTTTCTTTTTCCAGAGAATGGACGGAAAATAAATATTATTATGACATCTGTAAGGTTGTTAATACTGAAATAAACTAACTTTGTTAGCGATTTTTTTGAGCCACTGAATTAAATAAAACGGACTTTTAATCCATTTTACATCCAGGTTTCTGGGATTTATGTAAAACAGACTTTCAATCCATTTTACATAAGATATACTTCCCAGAAACCTCATGGAATCCCACCATTCGTTCCCGGAGACTCTGTATTATATATTTTGATATGAAATAACCCTTTTTATTAAGTGCACATTTTTGGAAAGCCAGAATTAATAACGAAACATTCTTTTTAATGTGTTACTATTTAATATCATAAATATTAAAACAAAATGAGGAGAAAAAATTGATGAATAAATGGAGAGTATTCCTCACACATAAAATGTCCTACAAGTTCAATCTCGGTATTTAAAAACGTAAAACTTGGAGAGGTATTAAATCTTATTCTTTACGTTTTGGAGAGATACTTAAATTTACTTCTTTATGTTAATATTATAACGAATATAAATATATAAAATATGTAATTACCACTAACACATATTTTAGTATTCTTAACTCTTAACGAAAAGAATATACTGTTTTGAAAGTACGAAATGTTTTTCCTTTGGACTAACTAATATAACCAGCAGTAACTAACGCAGTATATTACCATTATCTTGAGAAATATTATGTGCCACTGTTGTAGTTTTAGTAAAAATTATAATATTGATTTCAAAAATCATTCAAAAAAAAATTTTTTTTTTCTTTGAGTTCAAATTTTAAAAAAAGCTTTCCTAGGTTTTTTTAAAGCAAGCATGAATAATAATTTCATGAATATTTTGCGGTCTTTTACGGTCTAATTAATCTCTTCCAGAATAAGATGAAAAAGGCCACTGGAGATTCATAATCGAAGTGAATATGTTCATGACAGCAGTTTGCTGTAAATGACGGCAATCGCCACAGCGCGCCTGCGTAGACAGTTCCACCGCAAGAGGGGCGAGATCTGGAGACGGAATCAAGGAGGTGGGGGGTGCTCGGGATGCGGCGGAGATCTCCGTTAGGGGTCGCCGCAGTAGCCGGGATGGAGATGCTGCGGCAAGAAACGCTCTTCCGTCCCCAAGGCCAAACCTGACCCCGTAAGGCTTTCAGCCAGCCATGGCTGAGGACAGGCAGCTGCCCAACATACAGGAAGACTGCCTCCTCAAGGTAAGTTACCACATTATATTTTTCTTCTACCAGTCTGTCTCCTTCTGTACAATGAGGGCTATCCCGAGTAATATTACGCCCCCGACAGTCTATCACCACTCCAAGAAACAAACAGGTATATAGCCTTTTCATTAGTGAAAATCTGGTAGAATCTATGAGAGAAAGCTTGTGAAGTGAAAACTTGTCACGTATTTAATAATACAAAAACGCGGATCACTGATAGCTACATGCGAACTGATAACGAGCAGTCAAAGAAAACTTATTGTCCTATTAGGCTTAGCGCCCCTCAGTTAGTGAATGACCCCCAGCGACATGGTCATAGCCCAACTGATGGCAGTTGCTTAACTGTGCAGAACCTTCCCGAACTACATGTGCTAAAGGGCCCACTCTGGCCTTCCAGATCAACACTTAACGTAGTTTCAAAAGTGCAAGTATCGTACCAAGAATCGGCTGAGACAAATGCACACAAGCAGTATGCTTTTGTGTTTACAATAATTTTTATAGTCATCCAACGTATGACTAATAAAATATTTCGTAATTAGAAAAATACCTTAAATTAATAAAAATTGGTGTTCTTTAAGGAATCAGCAATTATATGTTTTTCAGTAACTAACATTTAACGCGGATTAAAGAAATTACGACTCATCCAAATTCTTGGCCTCTAAAAACTGCGTCATAGGAGAAAATATGTACTAAGTTTGCATGAAATAGCTAGAAAAAATTAAAAACAAGCAAACTTTGCTGTCTTATAATATTAATTTCCCATCATCACATAAGGAAAAAGCTTTTTCAAGAAAATCGTATATTTAAAAAATATCGGTTATATTTATGTTAAGATTGTTAGGTCGTACTTAACCTGATTTCACTTTTTTTATGACACAACTGATAGTCATCCATAGGCATAAGTGAAAAAACGTTTTACCATTAAAAGCGATGCATACTAATTAATTCATTTTGAAAAAAAATTGCTTAAGAATATAAGATAAAATTTGCTTGTTAGGAAAGAATTGGAAGGAAATGGAAAGTGTGTTTACATTTCAATTCTTGAATAAGAATTGAAATATTATTAAAATTGTTCAATGTAAATTATATTAAATAATGAATGAAAACAGATCAATGCATCATAACTCAGATGATTCCTCGAAATATTTTTAGAACATATCCAAGTTACTCTTCCATTATATACATACTTTGTCTCTAAGAAGTTAAGGTAAAACACCATTAATTACCTTAATTTTATTACTAGATGTAATCTAAAATTTTTACCATAAATTTGCAGATTAAATTTTACTAAATAATAAAATTATAAACATCTGACATTCTAAATATCTAAATTTCATTTGATACGAAAGGTCTGTGAGAGACAAATAGGGTGGTCTCTTCTTTTCAGAAGAAATTTTGTATTTGAAGGTATAAAAGATAAAATAATATAGCAAAAATAATTATAAAGTTAACTGCTCAAATTAAATATAGAGAAAAACAGATGGTTCCATTACTTCCTATATTGCAAGAACAAATAAAATAATACAATGAACTTTCTCATAGAAGTCAACTCTTAAGATGATCATCACTACCAGAACATAAAGAACATGGCAGCTTTAACACGACCGCTTCCCCAGTTCTTAGAATATCAAAGTATTTTTTGGTTCTCTAATTAGTTCCACAGCCTTCAAATCTCGAGTTTCAAGATTTCAGTTTTCAGTTTTTAAAATGTTGCATATTAAATTTAGAATATTTTTGCTACGTATGCATTCTGTTTTTTGTCTTCTTCTCCATTCTTTTCTCTAAAAGCAAGAAGACGCACACATACATATATATGTTGTATTAGCAGAGAAGAATACCAATCTTGGAATTAAAAATATTTATCAATCCGTACCGTTTCCAAAGCAACGGCACGTCAGAGACTTGAAATTCTAAAGACGTTTTCAAAACATTGAGATATTGACAGTTGTAAAAGGTTAATAAATCAGTTCTGATGTAACATAATTATAATATGATCCGTAATTTTGTATGCATTTAAAAGCAATAGGTTTAGAATGTTTTTAACCAATTTGTAGAATATTTCTTTCATTAACTCTTACAAATTTTTGCATTGGAGAATTTTCGCATGAAAGGCGCTAGTGATTTTAGTGGATAGAATTGGTGTTCTAGTTTAGAAAAGATGTTAAATTAGAATCAAATAGCTGTCATATATTCTAGGCCTCCTTTTATTATTTACAGTTATCAAAGGTAGGCAGAAAAATTTAAAATTAGCGAATTACTGAAAGAATGAGTATCTAAACTGAAATGAAAAGCTGATATCGCTGTGACTTAATTCCTTAGAGTCACAAATCAAAACAAAAGATTTTGATGCGTTTTTATCTGTTTCAGAATCATAGTAGGAATTCTTCTTAGGATGAAATCATTACTACATTCATATCAATGGATATACATTTCATTTTTATGTAATTAGTAACAATTAGGGTATTAACTGCTTTGAATCATTTATATCTCATTTATATATAATAAAATTAATGCATATAATTAAAATGATTAAGATTCATGATTATATTTGGAACATAAATTACTTTATGTTTCAAATACAAATATCTTCTAAATAAAAAATCATATCAATAAAACAAGAAAAAAAGAAATTCTGAAAGCTTTTAGATTTTAAAATTACCCTAAAGGGTAATTTTTTTAACGTTTTGTGTGTTACCTTTATTTATAAAATATCATGTTCTTTGCACTTAAACCATAAAATTCAATTCAAGAGCAATATCGCAAAATATTTAAAAGAGCATATCTTTAGAATTTCCGATACACAGTCTCGCGCGCTGGAGATAATTTTTTTTTCGCTACAGTGTTGCTATCATTCGCTTTGAAATCGCTGAGTTTCTTAATCAAAAACTTATAAATGCTTTACAAAATATGAAATAGATAATAAAACAAATTTCAAATACCAAATTTTGGCTTCCGGATGCCCATATTGGGGTGGAGACGAACGTTATTCAGAATTTGATGGCTACGATTGTTTTATCGCAGCGTGAGAAACATACATATAATTATGCAGATTCTTATTTAATTCCTTTAAATATAATACAAGTCGATAATATTTGGTGGCAACAATTTTAAAAGTGATTTGCCGTTTATAGTGAATTGACGTAAAATGCCAAAACGAATATTAATAGGCCTTCTGAGCTAACGCTCTTTTGGGCTAATAAATAGTATTTCAAGATATTTTAAAAGCACTAAAATTATGAATTGATTTAAGCAAACGTTCTAATTTTGTAAAACATTATCAGATAGTTTGTGATGTGCATTTAATTTCCAAGAGACTGAAAGCATTCAACTTTGTTATAAAGAGATTTAACATAATAATACTTTTATTCGATACTTTTTTACTCAAAAATTCGTTAAAGTTTTACAAAATATGGAAGAGATAATAAAACAAATTCTAAATTTCAAATTTGTTCTTCCACATGCCCATATTCGTAGGAAAATTATGTCATTCAAAATTCGATGGCTCCATGCACCGTTGTTTTATCACAATGCAAGAAATATACCTACATTTATGCCAAATTTTTTATTATTTAATTTCTTCAAATGTAATGCAGTACTCTAGCATTTGGTGGAAACCGTTAGAAAAGAGAAACGGACATTTATAGGACTCTAAAATTTGGTGTCAACAGTTTGAAAAGTGAAACGGAGATTTATAGTGATTCAACCCAAAATCGCAAAACGAAAACAATAGTCCGTCAGGGACAAAGCCCCTTCCGAGTAAAAAACCTTTTTGATCTTTTTCTGAGATGATCATCTTAGAGATATCGATGATGATAGTTACAGATGTGCATAAATAGAATTAAGATTTTCAAGACTTTTGGAACGTGTTAAAGAAAAATGCTGAAACAAATGTGTAGTACATTGGTTTGTAAAAACACTGATGTTAATAATTTTATAAATAATTAGGAATTAATGTGTAAGATAAGTAGCGAATTATGCAATAGAAAAAAGACTTCAAAATTACCTTATATTTAAATTTTTGTAAGATAGTAAGTGAAGAATATTTTTAAATTGTGAGGTACCACCCTTTTACCTAACAGCTAAATGTGTAGGAACTTCATGAACAGCTAAGAGAATAATCGCTTTAGCTCAGGAACAGAGACATAAACTCAAGAAGGGCTAATTACCCTTTATTCCTCAAAATAAGAATTAAAACAGTCGGCCCCTTTCTCAGGGCGTACAGCAAAGCCTCCACTTGGGCTTGAACACAAAAGTAATAAGAAGAAAGACATAGCCGAAGCTATCAAAATTCTAAGTAGGTGGCCTCTAAATATCGAATAAGCTAGCCAAGCTATCAAGGGCCTGAAATGCGGACGAGCGTAGTAACAGCTTAGAGAGAGACTTGGCAAACGTGCGCTAGTCAGAAACTCTGAGGCTCTCTCACGAAGCCAATGGAATTTAAACACCACTCTTACTCATTTTGCATTAAACGCGATTCTAAAAACACATTCTGATAGGAAATTGTAAGCTGAAATTAGGAAGGACAGGAAAGTAGCTTTAACTAAAAATAACTATTAAAAACTTTGGATAAACTTTACAAAATAATTAAAACAGATCTTACATTAAAGTGAAAAATATTACCAAATTGTTTCAAATTCTTTAAATTCAGTAATTGCATAAATATTTACTGTTATATATATTCAATGAACACTGTCTACTGAGTTTGGCTTTTGGTGAACCACTTCCGAAAGAGTCTGAAAGGAAAATTAATGAACCATCTTGTTTATAGACTACGATCTAATTGTTTAAACTAAGTTGCATAATTTACAGCTTCATCAAGGGACCTCTTAACTTTCTTCTCTCATCAGAGTTTCTAACTTTTCTTTAGATGTACAAGCGATGATATGCATTTGAGATGTATTTTTTATCTGTTAGCTTTATTTTGAAGTTCTTCTCTATTGTTGTTTCTTGCTGATATTACACGTTTGACTTACATTGACTACTTCATCTTTTTCGAT